ATGGCTGGCTGGGGAATTCTGGGAGTCCAAGTCCACACATCTTAAAGTTGCCGAGGTTGAGAAACACTGCACTAAAGCCTTGAGTTGGCATTATCCTGCTCCTGATCCCATGCTCCTGGCACAAGGATAGGTCACAGTGTCTCAGGGTCAGTTCTCCCATAGCAAAGCCCTGTGACCCACTAAGGGGGTTCACCTTGCCCTACCAAGTGAAGCTATACCTCCATCTGAAAAACCTCTCAGTAGTTTTTTGGAGTTGAAGAAAATACAAATTTCTTTTTATTTTTATGCAGGGAGGATAGAAAAGTATTGCTAGGATAATAGTGTGGATGAGGGAATAGGCTGCATACGGGCACACCCCGGACAAGGAAATAGATGCTGGGTTGTCACGACAGACTGAAAAGGTGGGAGCCCTGACTCGCTACTGGAACTCTGTTGAGAACATTTTTTTTTATTGCACGGCATGTTAAAAAAAATCTCCCTAAGCAAAGTTAGCCATAGAAGAATGACCACTTTAACTGCTTTCTTTCAGACATGTTAGTTTTTCAGGTAAAAGGAGACTCCCACGTGGTGTGCATGTATCTGGGTGGGTATGCAGAGTCAAGCCAATCCATCTGAATAAAGGAGCTGATCTAATCCCCTGAGGGATGCACATGGTATAAAGCATATATTATTTAGCAATCAAAAACATTTCACTGAAGTACAAAGTGAATCATCAATAATCTTCCTTCCCAGCAAGGGCAAATGGGCTTAATTGGTTTTCAAGTCAATCTCAAGATCTGCTTAAGAGTAAGGCTAGCGTAGTTGCATTTAATATAAAACATATGAACATCATTCTAGAACTCCATCTATGAATAACATACTTTTAATTTATTGTCATAACCTAAAATCATTTGCCGCAAATGGTTAAGTGCTCCTGAATTTTAGTAACAAACAGAAAATAACAGGGAAGCAAAAAGGAACATGGTTATGGGCAAATGATCTCATTTCCAGTTCTTTACTCAATTCATGATTATTTGTGATTTCAGATAAGAGATCCACCTTTCATTCAAAAACACATCTTGAATGTGGGACTGATCACAGGGAGCATGTGATTCCTTCTACAAAGGTTCACTGGTGACCAATCTGTTTCCATGTACAAGATTCTGACCTGTATATGACTATGCGTTATTTGAAAAACCCTATTCTTGCATAGAAATATGGGAGTCCACCTAAGTATTAGTATTTTGGGGAAGAGCCTTTTCCTTGGTCTTACTATCATCAGAGTGGTATGCTTGGACGGAACATGAAAATGTGCCTTTTCCATGGCTGATCCAAACTTTGGAATTACCTGCTAAGGAAGGCCAGACTGGTTTCTTCTTTTCTATGTCTGCCAGCAGGCAAAAACACTTGTATTCAAACGGGAAAGTGTTTGCTACAGTCAGTTTTAATTGGCTGCTGTTTGTTTCTTTTTACTGATGTTTAATTGTGTTTTTGTTTATAATTTAATCTTTATTTCTGTAAGCTGCTTGATATGGCATTTTGGATGCAAAATCAAGATTGTTTTAATCAACTTATTATTTTAAACAAAATGTTGAAAAATCTCTAGGGCGATTGGTTGCAAACTTCTTTCTCACAAAGCTTTGCTCAGAATGTCTCTTCCCCAAACCCCAAAGAATCACTATTCACAGTGGCCTGAGTCTTTGGCTCACAAGGGTCACTAGTGCTACAGGTAGTCCTCGTTTAGCGACTGCCTCATTTAGCAACCCTTTGCAGTTACAACAGTGATGAAAAAGCGACTTTACAACCAATCCTCACATTTACAACCTTTGCAGATCTGTAAAGCAAAGGAATGCTGAAGTAAGATCATAAGCATAGTTGCAGTTTCACTTAGCAACTGCTTTAGTTAACAACCAAGTTGCTGGTCCCAATTGTGGTCACTAAATGAGGACTACCTTCTTCAAGAAATTGGTGGCTCTGAAGCTGCTGTGAGAACTTTGCTCAGGGAAAAGCCAAACCATCCACCTTTGTGACAGATGGCTCAGGAGATGAGTGAGGGCTGTTGAGGCAGGTGGTCCTGATACTGAAGTAATTTTCAACACTCATTAAGTCACTCCTTTAAAAGGTAAATAAGTTCTGTTGCTAAGACAAGCACAAGAGAGATTGTAAAGAACTGTATAAGCATCTAATCATTAAAAAATGGGAGAGTGTTAAGGATGCCCATTCAAAATCAGACAATTTATCCCTGAATACACCTTATGTATGAATATATTCATAAAGAGAGTTGTTTAAAATTCTCTGCTTTCTCTTCAGATCATGTAACTCTTTCGCTTTTTACTAAAAAGGTAGAACTTTTCTAAAAGGAGAAGCACCAAAGCTAAACTCAGCCTGGAAACTGCACAGAATGCAACAGTGACCCCGCTTTCATCCTTCCCAGCATGACATTGGATATGAACTCTGCACTTCCTCAGAGACACTCTCTGGAGCCCTTATCATGTCTGCCTTTTCTTCCACTGATCAGCATTGTGACTCTTATCTGCAATCACGATTCCCAGGAAAGTTTTAGGAGGCAGCTATTCCCCCTTAGGAAGTAACCACCAGCAGCAGAGGGGTGCCCGTGTCCTCGTTTGGCGGAGGCTGGGGTCACGCGCCACAGCCTTCGCCAGTAGGTGAGGCAGGGCAGGAAGGCAGTGGGCAAGGCTTACCTTGTGCTGTTTCCACATGGCTCCCAAGGCCTTCACCTCGTGCTTGGAGTGTTTCCCTTCTTCCAGACACTGATAACAGACGGGGGTCCGGCAGGTCACACAGTACATGCTGTAGTTCTCCAGCTCATGGTCCGCGCACGTTGGTGACTTGCGGGCAGCTCCCGGGCCTTTGCTTCCTCCGCCGCACGCCCCGCCCGCGCCGCTGGGGGCGCTCTGTTGCTGGCTGGGCGGAGGAACCAAGCGGTGCTTGGCGAAGGGCCCGCGGGACGGGTGACATTTGACCTGGCAAGCCGAGCAGTAGAGCACCTCGCACTGTTCGCACAGCACCGCGGCCGCCTCCGGAGGACTGCGGTCGCACAGCTGGCACTTGGCCGTGGCCGAGGCTGCGGCCCGGCTCTGCTGGTAGCGCTGCACGATGGCTTCCAAGAGGCGATTGCGCTGGAAGCCGCGCAGGCCCCGAGGATCCAGGGAAGCGCTGCGATGGCACTGCGGGCAGGTGAGCGAGGAGCTGGTTCCGCTCCCGCGGGGGCCCGCCGCGGCCGCCGCGGCCGCCAACCCCGGAGGCGGCGGGA